ATTATCTCCATTGTTGATCAGCTATCTTCATATAATCTTTTTTATACTTATTTTATATGAAATCATAATTTTTTTTTCTCTTTGATTGTCTGATATTTTTGTTTGATTTTTCAATAAATTGAGGTGACACACCAACGGAGACAAATCTTAATTTTAAAGAGTTTTCAAAAATGTTAAACATGTAAAAATTAAGTTAAGCATGTACATACTAAAGCCCTGCTCCCACTGTGAGATTTCAGCCATGATTTTGTTATCTGAGACACATTTGGGAAATCCTACAAGGTTTCTGAAATCCTAGGCTGAAATCTGTGGCCTTTGATCGTTGGTTTGACATGTTCACAGACAGCCGCTTAAAGCCTGTTGCGATCAGATTTTTCCTCCGATGATGTTCTGGCAGTGTCGGAAGATTTTAGACACTTTTCTGCAGTGTGACAACAGCTGCTATGAGCGTCAATCTTAGAACCAATTGGAGCTCAGAATTTGATGACGTAATCCATGCAACAAATCGAATGACGGTCAGGAAATGTCAAAACAGTTTTTTTATTGCTGGTTTTATTATTGAGACTCGCTGTGTGCAAAATTGCTGCTACAGATTGTTTACGTTTGCTGTGAGGAATAATTTCAGAATGCAGGATAGTGAAAGGCCCAATCCCAATCCCAATTCTATTTTTGTACCCATACCCCTTCCCCTTGGCCCTTAAAACTGAGGTTGAAGGGGAAGGGCTTTAAGATTTATCCCTAAGAACTGGGACAGCACTACAGCGCCTCCACTTTTCATCATATGTCATTGTGATCTCTTCCTTCATATGAGATGAGACGATAGCGACTGCTATAGTTATTCCAGTTGTGTTATCTTCAGGAAATCACTGAAGGCACATATTATGTTATAATAATGATCTAATGTGGCATTAAGATTTTAACTATACTGCGTATTTACATATTGGCCATATTCATTTATATGAACACACAAATAAACAACATTAACATTATAGCAGACACTGTAAAAAGTATAGTATTCGTAAAACATAGTAAAGTAAAAATATAGTATAGTATTCATTGATTCATTTTCTTTTTGGCTTAGTTCCTTTATCAATCTGGGAATGCGGAATGAACCGGCAACTTATCCAGCATGTTTTACGCAATGAATGCCCTTCCAGCTGCAACCCAACATTGGGAAACACCCATACACTCTCATTCACACACATACACAAACAATAGCTTACCCAATTCATCTATACCACATGTTTTTGGACTTGTGGGGGAAACCAGAGCACCCGGAAGAATCCCAGGCCAACACGGAGAGAACATGCATATAGTATTTAAATAACATAAAAAAATATTTTTTTTCAGACAGACAAACAAAAAAATGAACACAAAAAGGCAAACAGATTTGTTTCCAACATTATCATAAATAAAAAAACTGATAGGCTTATTAACTAACCCATTAATTAACTAACTAATATGCAAAAAATATAGAATTTTCAGTGGAATTGCCAACAGAGAACATGGTTTTCAGTGACAAAATGTATGAAATTCCTATGTTTTTATGAATATATGGATAAAAGAAAATGATTGCCATTTACTAAAACAGCAACTTGTCAAATCAGGTTTGACGTTTTTGTACATTTTATTTTTTACAATTTGAAACTTAATTTATTAGAGTTAGAATAATTTATTGAATTATGTTTGGGAGAGTCACACCATAGGACAGTTTTGAGACTTGGCAACGGGAAAAGTTATAATAATACTAGCACAGCAGTTTTTATAACAAGAGGTCCATGTAATGTTTAACCCCACTGTAAAACCCATTAAGTTAAGGTAACTCAAACTATTTGGGAAAACGATTGCAACAAACCATTTAAGTTCATAAACTAATCCTAATGAATTCTGTGAACTTAATCTATTTGAGTAAACAAAGCAATTTGAGCACAGTAAACCCCAATAAATGAAGAGAACTGAGTACTGTAAAACCCAATAAATTAAGGCAACTCAAACTGTTTAAGGAAACCGATTGCTACAGACAATTTAAGTAAAAACAAACAAAAAAAAAAAGAATCTATACATGGACTGTAAACTTGCTCAATTTACGTTAAAGTAATGAGGTATTTAATTAACTCAATACCTTTAACACTTCAAAAGAGTTCAAAACTCTTCTCAAATAAATAGAATTAACTTTCAGTCAATTTAGAGTAACTACACTTATTTCATTTGATAAAGTTGACTGTGGGGTTTTACAGTGCATTTATTGCATTTTAAACAATGGCAATACTAATTATATTCAGTTTTGTCCTGTGTGACACTGAAAATTTTACATCACATCAACAGCCAACACGTATACCCTCGCAAGAGTGTCGCCACGGTGGTCCACAAGACAAATAGCTTTTTCTGGCGTAGCCTGATATACCATTGCTCATTACTGGTATCGAATGCTTCAGATCTTTTGGCTGGCGTGTTGTTGAAGGGCAAAGGAAAAACGTCCTCCACGACAGCAGAAACATTCTTGGCCTTTATCGAGCTGCGAATCTGCGGAGGAGTCCTCCGTCCAAATGGGGAGAATTACACCCCGGGGATGATGAACCAATCCTTTCTTGGCATCCAATACCTCCAACATGGCTGTCATGGGAGCTGTATTTGTGTGTGCGCATGTGTGTGTGCCCGCATTTAGATTAACTGTCTAGACCGCAAAGCAATAGAAACATTGATTGGTCAGTGTGACGGTGGCATGCATGTGCTTTGCTATGTCTGTGCATAATTGCACTGCATGTTGACGCATCTTTGTGTATGTATTGATAAGTGTGAGAGAAACGAGGAAAGAGAGAGAGGGGAATAAAGGAGTGAAAGAGTGGGGATTGGGAGGATAAGTAGTCATTGTATGACCCTGTTATGTGTATGAGAGGGTGAGTGGCGGATGGAAACAGCTATTTCTGGGCAGTAAAACATTGTGATTAAGGGCCAGACTGCCCTCAATGGGTCACTCGCAGAAAAATGGGCTTCATACACATGTGCACACACTCAGTCACTCTGTTGTGGAATGAAACCATGCTGGATACTGCTCTGATTTTTCAGGTCTGTTGAGAGAGGTTCAGCTGCTTTGAATGGTGGCAACCTATCACTTCTCATAGATGGATTATAATTTTGAAAAAGAAAATATCAGAGAATTAGTTTATTCTTTTTTGCCTCATAGTTAGTTAGTAAGTCAGAATGTCAGGTTTTTTTATTATGATAACATTTTAAAAAAAAATCTGTCAGACTTTGTCATTTTGTGTCTCTGTCTGCAATATATTTTTATATTTTGTATATACTATATTTTTACAAAAAATACTTCTGTTCTGTGAGTTTATATTAGTTGACATTGCTCAGTACAATGATTAGCTACTGTTGTTTGATTGTGCTTTATATAAAAAAATGTATAATAATATATATATATTATAACTTTAAAATATGCAATATTTTAGTTTTTATTTTTAAATAAAAATATGTATTTAATATATTAGATAATATTATTCAAAATAAATTTTAGTATTTATCTGTTTGAACCTGTATATATATGCTGCTCTCGCTTCTGCAGATCTATGTGCCCTCCAGAAACTTGCGTTCTGTGAATGAACGTCGCCTCGTGGTTCCATCCCAAAGGGGGAAGAAATCACTTTCGCGAACGCTCACGCTCAATCTGCCCAGTTGGTGGAATGAACTCCCTAACTGCATCAGAACAGCAGAGTCACTCGCTACTTTCAAGAAACGACTAAAAACTCAACTATTTAGTCTCCACTACACTTCCTAATCTGTAATTGCCTCTCTGAATATCACACTAACTGTACAAAAAATAAAAATAAAAAAAAATTCTAATACTACTAATACTTCCCTTCTTAGACTTTACAGACCTGAAACTTGCTTATAGCACTTATTCATTGTTGCTCTTGGTTGTGTAAATTGCTTCCTTGTCCTCATTTGTAAGTCGCTTTGGATAAAAGCGTCTGCTAAATGAATAAATGTAAAATGTAAATATATAAATAATACAAGAATATAAATAAACTGAATTACAGACAATGGACTCTATTTTAATTATTTCGGTGCAAAGTCTGAGGCGAATGGCGCAAAAGCATTAAGGGCATGTCCCAATCAACTTTTGCTATTCTAAGGGCGTAAAATAAGTCTGCGGCATGGTGCCTGGTCTAACAGGGTTGTGCTTATTCTCTTAGAAAACAGTTAATCAGACCATCTGCAGCTAGGATAAAGAACGAGCCTCCTCCATTTAGCCTCTTTACTTTCTTTTTACTTTACTTTTACACTTTACTCCTTTACACACTCCACTGGAGACATCCATTAGCCTACATATTTAATTCCGTTTGTTAAGCTCAAAGATTTGTTTCAAAACTATTTCTAAATTCAGTTCAAAATTCTTGAAAATGAATAAATCAACAGTAATAACGAAGTTAGGTCAAAACTTATATCTAAACACATGTCATTTTCTTATGGATCATATGTTGATGCATACGTCTCCAAAACCCAATAGGTGGACAAATCTAAACTTTTTTTTTTTTTTTAATTAAAACAAATATAAATATAAATATAAATATGCATATAATAAATAATACTGCTAATAATATTAACATTATACAAACACAAATTGTCATGAATAAACTGAAAAAAAAACCTTTAGACCTGCTTTTAGATGGTCAATGGAACAGTCTATTTCAGTTCCTCAAATAGCAATGCACCAACAATGAGCCTTAACAAACCACCTTTTTTTAAGTCGGCACACCCATGAGTCCACAAAGTAGCACTAATGCATTTTTTATTTAAACAACGATGCGCAAAACTTGAAAATTAGGGCTGTGCTGGTCTAAAAATTGCAACAAATTGTTCCATACACGTCTTGCGCCTGATATGATAGGGTGTATGATAGTGCCCTTAGTGTTTTTCACTTGCAAGAAATATTTGTTTAGTGTTAACCTGCATATTTTCAAAAGCCTTGACTTATTCCCTCATCTTGTCCTCAGCACATCTGGCCTCACCCTTCCCACACCATATTATCAGCCTGAGGAGGATGACGAGCGGCCCTTCATCTGCTCGTTGGCTCAAGATAACGGCATCATGTCCTGCAGCGATGTGCCTGCTCGGAGAGAGGGCGGACGGGAGTGCTGTCTGGATAAAGAGGACGCTCTTCACCGGCAGGCTCTGGGTCTGAGCGCCGAGCCGCTGGTCAACGGCAGCGCATCTGCCATGGGCCTCTGTGTGAACTGGAATCAGTACTACACCCGCTGCCACACTGGACACACCAATCCTCATAAAGGAGCAATTAATTTCGACAACATAGGATACGCATGGATCGTCATATTTCAGGTATGAGATCAAAGTCACGTGGCATTTTCTGGAACGAAGCATCTGTTCTCTTTGATCGTCTTTTTCGGGTGATCTTGTCATAAATCAACAGTGTTAAGTAAATCAGAAGCGTTTTGTGATGCAGTCACTCAAAGGACATTTAGAAATACATGTGTCCACATTGCTTGTGTGGTGTGCTGCAAGTGCTAATCCATCTTGATGTGTCTTGGGCAACAGTGAAAGGCCGCCTACACACCTGTCAATCAAACACTATGCTATAACAAAGCTTTAAACAAATCAAATTGCAAATGAAGTTAGATAAACACTGGCTGTTTTCATTTTGAATTAATTACATTGGTAATTACCCTGATGTAAAGTAGTTTTGAGAATATATATTTGTAATATATGAAGTACGAAAAAACAGCCTGGCTAGTAAGAACAATATAACCTGAGGTATGAATCATTTTGGCCTTGACTGTATGACACATGCATCAATTATGAACTGTATACATACATATGGTATATTGCAGTATATTATAAATGCATATGGTTGGAGAGAATAAATAATAATGACAAAGATGTTACGATCTTAGGTGTAAAGTGAAATTAACATAGAAACATAGATCATTTTCATCATATGTAAATGTACCAAATTGAAATTTTGTCACATCGTTTGGGTTTTATTATTTTTTTAAGCTATTGAAATGACTGCAAGAAACTAATGCAAATTTAACAAAACCGAGTTTGTTTTTACATCTTGTTACAACTTTTATTTGAATAAAAATTATTGTCGCTTAATCTGAAAGTATTCTCCAAATAAGGCTACATATATATATATATATATATATATATATATATATATATATATATATATATATATATATATATATATATATTTACCTGATATTTACATATATTCATATTTATATTATAACTGTGGACTTGCGGTGAATCATCTCATCATCCTTTACTAATTATTCAACGAGGCTAAATGTGTTCTGATCTGTTTTGTGCAGGTGATCACGTTAGAGGGCTGGGTGGAAATCATGTACTACGTCATGGACGCGCATTCCTTCTACAACTTCATCTATTTTATATTCCTCATCATCGTAAGTTGGCATGCATGTGTTCAGAGATAAAGCATGTGTCCTAATTATCAAGAACTTGTAGTCTGTGGATTTGGATGGCATATGTTGTCTGGGAGGACTTAAAGTTTAGTGACCTTTACCAGGGCCAGAGGGTGAACTGGATGTTTGGTCTCATTGGTAAGAACAAAAAGGTCATGTCGCTCCCCTGGACACACAAATACAGTTTAACATACAGCAACAGTCAAACTTTCAACACAATGCTTACTAATTAGGGATGTACTGAAGATAACATAATTTTCAATAGCAAAGCATTAGGTTTTTTGTTTGTTTGTTTTTTAGGCAAGGCAAGTCTATTTATATAGCACATTTCATTCACAGTGGCATTTCAAAGTGATTTACATAAACAGGAATAAAAGAGACAACTATTAGAAAGTTAAAACAAATATAAAAAATGATAAAAACAGATTAAATGTGTTTAAAAAGGTTATAAAAGAATGAAAAAGAAAAGAAAGACATAATAGCTGTGGGATACATCTGTGGGATGTAGCATAGTGCTCGTTCAGTAAAGGCACAGCTAAACAGAAGTGTTTTCAGGCTCGATTTGAACGTGCCTAATGTTGGAGCACATCTGATCATTTCTGGAAGCTGATTCCAGCAGCAGGGGGCGTAATAACTGAAGGTGGATTCACTGTGCTTTGACTGAACTTTTGGAAGGTATATTTTATATGATACTAAAGATTTGAGTGATCTGTTTGGTTTGTATTCAGTGAGCATATCTGTGATGTATCAAGGTCCATTTAGTGATTTATAGACTAGTAATAATACTTTAAAAACCATTCTTAATGTAACTGGGAGCCAAGGAATAGACCTAAGGACAGGTGTGATGTACTCTATGATTTTCTGGTTCTTGTCAGAATTCTGGCCGCTGGATGAGCTGCAACTGTCTGACTGTCTTTTTGGGAAACCGGTGAGGAGTCCATTACAGTAATCCACACTGCTGCTGATAAAAGCATAAACAAGTTTCTCTATGTCCTCTCTGGAAACAAAGCATCTAATTCTTGCAATGTTTTTGAGATGATAGTATGCTGATTTAGTTACTGCTTTGACATGACTATTGAAACTCAGATCTGACTCCAGAGTCACACCAAGATTCTTGACCTTATTTTTTGTTGTTTGACCCTAGGAGCCAAATTACACATTAACCTTGAGAACCTCATCTCTGTTCCCAAATGCAATGACTTCAGTTTTCTCTTTGTTTAACTAAAGAAGGTTTTGGCACATCCAATTGTTCATTTCATCAATGCATTGGCCGAGGGTTTCAATGGGACTGAAGTCAAAAAGCAGCAAGGCTAAGTAGATCTTCAGTGTCTTCAGAATAGCTGTGGTAGGAGACTTGGTTCTTTCTCATTATTTGGCTCAGTGGAAGCAAATAAAGAAAAAGATGCAAACATGTATATCAGAACGACCCAAAGAATAAATTAATGAATAAAAATAATTAATAAATAATAATAATAATAATAATAATAATAATAAAAACAACAACAATTATATTATTATTATTAATAATAATGAATAATGATAATAATAATGATAATAATAATAATAATAATAACAAATTGTATTATTTATTTATTTGTATTTATTTTATTTGTTAATCAAATCAATATATACTAAGTCATAACTTAAATCATAACAGCAATGAATATTAAGAAAAAAAATAAGGAAATGTCAAATAGCAGCCAATAACCTCTTAGATATCCATATATTTTGTATCCCTGCTACTAATTATTACAAATTTTCTGTTCTAAATCTAAAAATAATTGGCACTTATATTTAGTGTTTAGAATGCCATCTGTAAGCGCAGACTTAATACAGTCATTTTAATGCAAGACCAGCTAACAGCTAATAGACATTTAAGCACAATATCAGTTTGATTAGTCCTGCCATATGGCGCATCGCATCTGAAGTTAAAATCTAGTAAGAGAAAAAAAAATCACTACAGTTATTCTCATGAGATGCAGCCAGATCAGGCTTTTATTGACAAACTGAACCTAACTGAATCTGCAGACCTCCCGATTGACGGCCTAAAGCTTTCGAGGATGCAGATATTAGCTAAACAGCACATTTAGAAGTCAACTGAGATCAATTAGACAATGAACAGCATAGTAAAGAATCAATAGCTGGACACTATAAACTGAATTTCTCTTCACTCCAGCCTCACGTTTAGCGAAAGCAGTCGGTTCTCGGCCCTTCTTGGATAGTAGGAATGACAGCGAATGAGACAACCCTGCAGTGAGATGTGCTTTGGATAATGTCTCCTCCCAAGATTAAAGACGAGAGAGAGAGAGCGGAAAAGAAATGCCCTGAGGATAAGTGAGGAAAAGGATCTGAGACTGAGAGACAGCAGGAGACTAAAGGAATAAAGGAATGGATTTGGGAATGAGATGAGCGGGTCAGATAGCTGAGAGGCCTGCTGGTATTTGTTGTAGCTATTTGTGCCGTTCTTAAGCTTTCCAGTTTCCTGCATTCGAATGCTGTTAGATAGCCGCAGGCTCTGCTGGAAACGCCAAAATCCACTGTAGCTCAGGAAATGGCTAGTATTGAGAATTGCAGGTGTGTGTTGTAGCTAATGACAGAGGCTAATCCTGTGTAGGTCAGCAGAGTAAAGCATTAGTAGTTAATTAGAGCCCATCAGAATAGTGGACACCTGCCGCCATCTCGGCAGTCTCACACACTTCATGACAGAGACCCTGTCACCCTGACACATGCACCCTGCCGGAGCAGTCACATGATCCTTTTCAGCATGCATCTGAGGTGTGCTAACTGCTGGAATGTGACACTGGCTGAAGAATAAAGAGATATTCATGGCTGAGCAGACATCATTTAGGCTAAGTCATGAAGCAGTTTTGTGTTACTTTGCCACTGTTTACTGCTGGTGTTAAGGTGTGTTGATGACATAAGTCTGATCACAAGTGGTTGATTGGATTTGAGCAACCACAAAGGATCACCTGATCTTCACCTACTGACTTATATAAAATCATTACGGGATGGGATGTGTTGTGAGAAAGTACACCAAAACAAGGTCGTCCTACAGTTGAAGGCAAAATCATTAACCCTCCTGAGAGATTTGAGTTATTTTTGAGCATTTGCAGCTTGCTATAGAAGTAAACATCTGCCACTAAAATGAACTACATTTCCCTTCAGACATTTCACTCACACACCAGTCCCAGTTCATCCCCTGATGACTGATTATTGGACTTTATATACAGCACACTCACTCTCATCCATTGATAAGACTTGTTTTTCCCATAAACCTTACAAAGTGTTCGTCTTGTCTAGTCTTGCCTTACTTTTGACACTTGTCTTGGTTTTTGTTTACATTGTTTTGCTGCCTGAACAAAGCTCTTTTCCTGTGACCGCGATTACTCTTTGGATTGCCCTCATGCTACTGTTTACTAGTGGTGGGCAAAACAAGGCTTCATGAAACACTAAAACAATTGAAGCAAATGTGGTGAAGCTTCGAAACGTTTCGAAAGCTGTCTCTGCAGCTACATCTAGTGGTCATTTTTATGTGTTGCTCTAGAACAGTTTCAGCAAAGAAATAGTTGAGCAAATTAAGTAGAGTTGAGGTTTCAAGTGAGTTAGTGAAGCGGTGAGAGTTCCAGACTAGCATGCAGAGATAATGTCATAAATAAACTAAAAAAGCCCCCCGAGATGAAAAAGGCATGCGGGTGGTGGTTTTTATATTTATGTAGGCTAGAAAATAATAGTTTTTGTAATATTTCAATCTTTTAATTCTTTTTCATTTGTAAGGATGTTTGCGTATTGCTGTACATCCTGTGTGTATTAGGCATTGTTTAAGCGAGGCACCTCCTCTAAGCTGGTCGATTGAACAGACTATTTTAGTGCCTCAAAATAGCAACGCACCAGCAATGCACCTTAACACACCTCCTTTTTTAGATCACAACGCCTATTAGCGCACATATGAACCCAAATGCATTTGCTATTTAAACAGCGTGCTGCAAAATGTCAAAATCACTCGTGCGCCGAGCTGAAACTAGCAAACAACAAATGCGTCGCGCCTAGGGCCCATTGTTGTCCAATGACGTGTTTGAAAAGAATGAAAATATCATAAGGAGGGCTAGTCATTTTGCTGGATGCTGTACTTCCCTGCATTATTCTTAAATGCACAGATTGCAATCAAAATGATAGTTTATTATGAAGTATTGATAATTTGCGATAGATTTGCTTTTCTTTGTAACTTGGGTTAATTTATTCAATAGTAGTCGCACGATGCACTGTCTGCAGAGTGCTTCTGTGAAAGTGCTGTAGAGCATGAAAGAAATAAGAGGCTCAGCTAAATCCAAACACAAGTGGTCACTAGAGACGCATTTGAATAAATGTTAATGCCAGGTGGAAAAGGTAATGTCTCAGTTGACCTCTTGTGTTTGGATCACTGAAGATCCCAGTTAATTCCAGGTAATACAAGAAGAAGAAAAAAGACACTGCTGACAAAAAGTTTGACATGCCTATTGAGAGATGGTGACTTTCATTGTGTACTCTGTCCATATTTATATTGATCTTATTCTGCGGAAGTGTGCTCAGTTTTGCAATTGTTTAAGGACTTTTTAGATTCATTTGCCTAATGGAGAAATCACTAGGAAAAATAATTGAAATTTATTTATAAACTAATTTTGACAGAATCACATGCTGATTATTGACCAAAGCTGGTCCCACATTAGCTATCACATGATTTACCAATCAGATGAATCTAAACATACATAGATAACCAGATTTTTTTTACCTTAGTCATCTTTATCTTGAAGAATCCTCCCAACCACCCCTACTCCACCCCCTCTTTCCTAGATTAATTCAGGAAAAGAAGGCACAGTGGCTCAGGGGTTAACACTGGTTCAAGTTCCGGCTGGGCCAGCTGGCATTTCTGCGTGGAGTTTACATGTTCTCCCTGTGCTAGCTTGGATTTCCCCTGGGTACTCCGGTTTCCTCCCACAGTCCAAACA